ATATATATATATATAATTATTCTGATATCACAGTTATGACATAGTAACATAAATATTACCATTATTATAATTTATTTATACCCGCACCGTTTGTCCTCTAAAAATCGTCAGTCTGTTTATTTCAGTGTTTCATCCGTTGGCATTTTTCTCATTCTCTCTCTTTGCTGTTTGTCGTTTTCTGCAGGCTTTTTCCCAGGAAGTTCTCAGGGCTGCGACGCGTTTCTCCGTCACAAGATGACCCTCCTTTCTCCATCGATCCTGAAGAAATACAGCATCCCCTTTGACAGAGTGAGTTATTCACCCATTACATCACTTCCTGTCACTGACACAGCACAAATGTTCATTCAGATAATATGGCGGGAGATAAGTGGCATATCATAGAGGTTCACAAAATCAATTAGTTGGAAATCTTTATGCAATGTGCTGTATGTTTTTATGTTATAATTTGCAGTACATTATAAAAACATTAAAAGTGTAATGATGATAATTGAACTATAAATCAACATTTTATAAAAATTGTTTTTATTTATCATTATTATTAGTAGTAGTAGTAGTATTAATACACAAAGTATTACTGAAGTAATAATAATAAATATATATGTATTTAACTTATTTACAATTTATCATTATTGTTCTATTAATATATTTATAATTGTATTGTGCAGTATTGATTAATTTAATAATATTAATAACTAAATACATTTAACAATAAACATTGTATTCATATTTCATTGAATTGAAATCTAAAATTTTTAATTCAAGAATGGTTTTGTGAACTATTTATAACTCGGTTCTGCTCATGTTTCATTAATACGTCAGTAAAAGAAGCTAATAAAGCTCATTTTTTAGCTTACCAATAACGATTTTCTCTGTAAATTATTCGTAATATTGCATATTTAAGTTCAGTGACTTGCGATTGTAAAAGGAGAACATTTCAGTCAGATTTTTACCTGGGGAAACATTTCTGTGCATTTTAGCGAACGTAAGGTGCGCTTTGAATGTTAATTTTAACGTAGGCCACAGCGTTAAAAAATGCAAATGCTAATTCTTTTTAGTTAATACGACAATTTTTGTTAGAATTTTTTTTTAACGGACAGTTTGCACAAATTTTCGGCTTGTGTTTCATTAATACACCAGTAAAAGAAGCTAATAAAGCTAATTTTATTAGCTTCTGTTATTGTTTTGTTAAAGAATCAAAATAAAATAAAATTTTCTGTGGAAATTTGTTGCGACTATTTTCATTAGAAATGTTTTTTTTACGAACAATTTACACAAACATTCTGCTTGTGTTTCATTAATACACCAGTAAAAGAAGCTGATGAAGCAGATTTTATTAGCTTCTGACATTTTTTTTTTGTTATAAAAACACAAGGGAATTGAATTTTGTGAAAATTTGTTTGCGACAATTAGAATGGTTTTTAATAAACGATTAACGCAAACTTTCTGATTGTTTCATTAATACACCAGTAAAAGAAGCTAATAAAGCTAATTTTATTAGCTTCTGTCAATTTTTAAAGAAACATAAGCAAATTGAATTTTCGGTGGAAATTTGTTGCGACTATTGTTTTTTTAACGAACATTCTCCTTGTGTTTCATTAATACAGCAGTAAAAATAAGTTAACAACGGTAACTTTGCTAGCTTCTCTTATTGGCTTATTTCAAAAAAACACAAGCCAAGTGAATTTTTTTATGCAAATTGTCGCAAAGTTTTTCATTAGAATGTTTTTTTTTTTTTTAACAAACGATTTACGCATAATTTCTGATTGTTTCATTAATACACCAGTAAAAGAAGCTAATGAAGCTAAGTTTATTAGCTTCTCTTATTTTGTTAATGAAACACAAGCTAAGGGATTTTTCTGTGGAAGTTGTTGCGACTATTTTCATTAGAAATGGTTTTTAACGAACAATTTACACAAACATTATGCTTTGGTTTCAATAATACAGCAGTAAAAATAAGCTAATAAAGCTAATTTTATTAGCTTCTGTCATTGTTTTGTTAAAGAATCACAAGAAAATAAAATTTTCTGTGGAAATTTGTTGCGACTATTTTCATTAGAAATGTTTTTTAACAAACAATTTACACAAACATTCTGCTTGTGTTTCATTAATACACCAGTAAAAGAAGCTGATGAAGCTAATTTTATTAGCTTCTGACATTTTTTTGTTTTGTTATAGAAACACAAGCAAATTGAATTTTGTGAAAATTTGTTTGCGACAATTAGAATGGTTTTTAATAAACGATTAACGCAAACTTTCTTATTATTTCATTAATACACCAGTAAAAGAAGCTAATAAAGCTAATTTTATTAGCTTCTGTCAATTTTTTAAGAAACACAAGCAAATTGAATTTTCGGTGGAAATTTGTTGCGACTATTTTAATTAGAAATGGTTTTTAACGAACAATTTACACAAACGTTAGCGATACACACACACTTTCGTTTATTTGCAATTTTGTTAAATAAAAATCATTTTTTAGAAGTAAGCTGTGTGTTGTGCATGTTAGCCTTGCTAACTAATTTTTCATGTATATATTTCTGTTTTTGTTAAAGAAAAAACATCTGTTAGATAGCTAAGCTTGGTCGCTTTTTTGGGAGTATTGGGAGTCTCTGAAGGTGTGTTTTGCATGCTAATGCTAATATAGGTCGCAGCGCTAATGTCACGGGCTGCCTGCGGGTAGAAATTGTAGCATTAGCATTTAGCTTCGAATACAAAGATGACGAGGGTGGTAAACTAAAGTGCTGTGACTCCTCACACATCATTTTATGTGTATTTACGCAACAAACGTGATCTATACGCCAACCACGGACCCTGCTGTTGGCTACATCGCGGATTACATTTCATTTTAAAACGGATAGTTCCGGTCCTTGATTCTGATTGGTTGAGCCGCGTTCGAAGCTGTTGTAAATTACACTACAAACATACACCTTTGTTTACTTCTGTGTGTTGCTCGGCAACCAATTTGTTGCACCCACAACGGTTTCTGAGGAACTACATTGTTTGGTGGAAGATTACTGTTTTTATTTATATCATTACTCTTTATTTGCTCTGTTTTATTTAGTGAAACCTTACTACGTATATGGATTAACCGTTTTATAAAATCAATAAGCCCCGTGAAGCCGTGGTTTACAGTGAATTTATAACAGCTAAGGGGGTTTTAGGCACTCCGCTTCGCGTCATACCTAACAACGCACACTTAGCTGTTATAAATTCACTGTAAACCACGGCTTCTTGGGGCTTATTGCTTTAATTTACTCCGCCGCCCGCTTCCATCCGTGCAAATTAGTCTCTTTTTTTTTCCCTTCTCCATGGATAATTCCCATTGTCAGGAGTCCGAGACCCTCACAGTGAGATTAAAATGGGAATAAATCTCTATAATGAGGCTAGATAAAGTTCAGCGCTGCTATGCAATCCTGATTTTCACTCCCGCCGCTCCTTCATACGATGGATGTTATTGTCACTTTTGAGTCGACGTGACACTCGGTGGAGTTGGAGTGAGATGAAACCGAGAGGGAGATGCTGAAGTGTTGATCTCAGCAGGTTCCTGTCTGTCTGTCTGTCTCTCTCCGTGTGTCTGGGGACGTTATTAGAGCTTCAGCTCAAACTCCTGCTAGCGAACAGTCGGCGAGAGTGTGAGGAGAAACCCAGCAAGGAGAATCATGCATTAAGTTTCATCCGCTCCACCATTATGGTGACAGTTAAGACCGTTACGATACGTAATACCAGACTTAATACCAATATATAGCATGATTTCTGGATGCTGTACCGTGGTTTTCTTTGAAATGCCTTACGGTAACGTCAACATGAACTCAAAATGTACTTTTTTCTTGTTGAAAAGCCTGTCACGCTCTGGAGTAGGACTCATTTTGGAAGTAAAATCGGTTGCAAATTATTTCTTGATTTTAAGGGATTTCAGAGTGCCTTGGTATTTTTGTCTGCTACTTTTCTTTCTTTGAAGGAAAAATCCGTTTTTTGGTGACTTTCGGGTCCTGTTTTTGGTCGTCTTTCATTTAAATATGCATTTAATATTTGGGGGGGGGGGAAGAATGAATTCTCATTAAAAGAATTAATAAAATGTAAATGTATTATTGTAAGTTTAAATGTACTTTTTAATTTAAATTAGTTATGTTTTTATTGTTATATTGTTATATAGTGTTTTTAATGTTATTAATAATTTTATTTTATTTAAAATAAAATAATACTTTTATATACATTTCTGCAAAATTCAAATGCAGCTATTCACTAGGTCACTTGTATTTTTATTAAAGTATTTTTTTTATTTATAATATTTTTAGATCAGATTTTTTTTTTTTTTGTAATTCGAATTTATACCGTAATACCTGACTTTATTTTTAAATTAAAAAGACATTTTATTTTAAGTAATTTTTATTAATTTAGATGACTTATCCTTTCTTTCAATTCAGTTAAAATTAATAATATTTTCATATACATTTCTGCAAAATTCACTTGTTTTATTAAATATGTTGTGTATATAATCACATTTTTTTATTGTAATGCAAATTTACACGATAAATTTGGACTTTATGGCTTTATTCAAATTTTATTTTATCTTAAAAGTTAATTAACTTTCTTTCAAATCAGTTAAAATTATTTCATTTAAAATGAGTAATACCTTTATATACATTTCTGCAAAATTCAAATGCTAGTTATTCGCTGTGTATTAAACTTTGTATATATAATTTTTTCGCAATCAGATTTTTTACTGTAATGCAAATGTACACCGTAATACCTGATATTATTTTTAAATTAAAAGTAATTTTTTTATTTTCAAAATTAATTTTATTATTTTAGTTTACTTTTTTCCTTTCACTTCAAATGAAAATTATTTTTATTGTCATATTTTATTACACTGTTTTTCATGTTGATTTTCGTTGACATTTTTTGTTCGTTAATTGTTTTCTCGTCTCATATATAAAATTCTATAATTTTTTTGTAATAACCAAAAGCAGTACTTTTTGTAGTAACCCAACTCATAATCTAACTTCGTTAAGTGTGCGAACACACCCTAGGGCCAATTCTACGAAAACACCAGACACGTAGCAGTGAAATATGTCTCCGAACGGCATTAATGAATCTGACTTTCTTTCTAATGGACGCCAGCATGACGCTGAAGCGTGACTCCACCGATCGCAAAGCAAGAAAACGGAGTGAAATGAAAATATTCATTAGCTAAGGCCGGCTAACTCTCCGCCATGCTTAGCACCTCGTAGCGTCTGAAATATCTTTCCAGCGTTTATTCTGGCCGCTGGCAGCCGAGGAAGAGACGATGAATGTATGGAGAAAACGAGAGGGGAGTTTGAAGATTTCTCACAGCAAATTTCTTTTCCCATCAGCCGCTAATGGCTACAGATATTAGCGCTGGAAGCCGCCGTGTTTCTCAGTCTCGGCTGATTTTCCCGCGATGGCTTTTTCTCCCTCTGAAGTGTCGTTTGCAGCTTAATTCAGCGGTTATTGGCTCTTTCATCAAAGTACAGTTCAGTGTTGCCTTCGCCCAGATTACTGTGGAGCTCAGTGAAATTAATAATATGTGGGGTAACGGAGCAATAGCTGGGAAAAAATTAAACGTCCAGCACTTCCATCTTCAGAGACGCATGCGTCCCATGAGGATGAGCCGAGGGCTTCATGATTATTAGCACACGAGCAGAATTTACAATAAAGTGCTGCAGATACTGACATTCAAACTCCAGTAATTCGCAAAGACACTTGCCTTCATTTATATATATAATATTTTTGCAATCAGATTTTTTAAAATGTAAATTTACACCATGATTAGGGTTGCAAAAAGGTGGAAAATTTCTATTAAATTTCGGAAATATTCCAGAAATTTTGGAAACTTTCAAGTATTTTAAAAAAATATATTTTTGGAAATTTTCCGGAAATTTTCCGGAAATTTTCCACCCCTTTGCAACCCTAACCAATGATACTTGACTTTTTATTTTAATTCAATTTATTCATTATTTATTATACATTTTACACATTTGTTACTTTTGTTCATTAATTTGTTCATAATTTTTCTTTAATTACTTCATTTTGTTCTTTCACATTCTTATTTCTTTCTCTTGCTTTTGTGCAGGTATTTATATAGTTTTTTAATTTTATTTTTTTAATCATTCGTTTATTAATTAAACTTAAATGTAATGAAAGCAACAAAAGAAATAGGTTGTTTGTTTTGTTTTTATTTTGTCCATTCATAATTTTCTTAAATTCGTTATTTGTTCTTTACTATTTGTAATTATTTCTCTTGCTTTTGTGTTTTTAATTTTTAATTTTGTTGACTTTAACTAATTTGTAATTACTCATATATTAGTTAATTAAAAATTAAATGTAAGAAAAGTAACAAAAGAACTAGGTTGTTTCATTTCTTTTGTTCATTCATCATTTTTCTTTAGTTTGTTTGTTGTTTCATATTATTAATTGTTTTATTATTAATTATTAATCTTGTTTTGCATATTTTTTCATGATAAAACGCTGCACTTTTTAAAGTTAATACCTCACTTTTTAATTAAACAAATTTTAATTTAAGTCAGTTTTATTATGTTAGTTGTCCTCTTAATTTTTTAATTGCTAATTTATTAATTAAATAATAAAAATTATAATAATAAAAGTACGTTGTTCCTTTGTTTATTCATTGGTTCACATCAATTTTCTTTAATTTGTGTTAATTTGTATTTAATTTGACTGTTTGTTTAGTACCTGACTTTTTGTTTTAATTCAATTTAATTTAAAAGTATTAATTTGTATTTATTAGAATTTTCATTTTTTTTTATTATTCATTAATTAAAAAGCTAATAAAAGTAATAAGTTGTTTGTTCCTTTTGTTTCTTTTTTTTGTTTATTTATCAATTCTTCGCATAATTAATTTTTCATTATTTCGTTCTTTCACATTCTTTCTCTTGCTTTTTTGCGTATACTATTTTAGCAATTTGTTCGCTATAAAACGCTGTACTTTTTACAGTTCCACAACATCGGCATTAGAATCTAAATTTGATTTAAAAGTTAATTTAATTATCTTAGTTGACCTATTAATTTCAATCATTAATTTATTAATTAAATGATAATAATAAAACTAGTTTCTTTCATTTTGTTCATCATTTGTTCACATCCATTTTCTTTATTTGGTGTTAATTTGTTTAAGTCAAAAACATTTGACTTTTTTGTTTTAGTGCATCATTACTTTTAAATTAAACTGAATTAAAAACAGTCTTGATTTGTATTTCGTTTGACTTTTTAAAAATTAATTTATTTAAATAGCTAATAAAATTAAGTTGTTTCTTTCGTTTCTTTTTTTTTTTCTTTCACATTATTTCTCATGCAATTTATTCGCTATAAAGCGCTGTACTTTTTCCAGTTCCCCGAATCTAATTCTCCCAGTTCAATGTAGTTTACTGTATTAAATTAATTTCATGTAATTGCGAGATTCCACGCCACAATCAGCGCAGATAACGTGAAACAGTTTCAGAGATTTTGCGCGTGGACCTCGTCGTGATGATTTTGTCATTGTTGTCTTTCTTCCGCAGATCACGCAGGAGGAGGGCGAGTTCATGATCACGTTTCCGTACGGATATCACGCCGGATTCAACCACGGCTTCAACTGCGCCGAGTCCACGAACTTCGCAACCCTGCGCTGGATCGACTACGGCAAGATGGCCACGCAGGTGAGTGTAAAGCCTCGTACACACCGGGACGATTATCGCGCGCGCTTATCGCCAACTTTTTTTGTTCATACCCAAACGATTTTCGCTGGCGATGAGCCAGGTGAACGTGTAAATTCACTCCCTGACATTAGATGGCGCTTAATGAAAAACAGAAATACATCGGTACACATCGAATCCTATTTCATCTGCAATTCCTCTCCATAACAACTCCCTCTTATCGAGATTTTTGTAGTCGCTGTCGCGTTTGTCATAAAGCCCTTTGTGTTCAGACACCAATGAGACCAGCAGCTCTACATTCATCTTGCCTCGATGCTTCTTCTTCGTCTACTTACTTCCTCTTCGTCGTTAGATATCAATGTGTGCTCGGCAAGACCGTTTTGTGCTTGAGCGCCACCAAGTCGTGTTTTACTGTAACTTCAGCAGCTCCAGGCACGTGAACAAAAGCGCCAATCTCATTGGTCGGCCAGTTTTTAACGCAGCGCGTCAAACCAAAAAAACGAGCCAGAGGCGTTTTTTAAAAAAAATGACGCTTTTACGCCTCACGCGCGGTGTGCACACTCACATTGGCG